GTGCCCCCCAGTCCCTCCCAGTGCCCCGGCCCACCTTCTGCTCGCGGTACCGCCCGTCCCTGATGCTGTTCCCCAGATCCGCCGCCGATTTCCGCTCCACCACCACGTCCAGCGCCAGCTCCCGGGGGGCGTGGCCTGGGCGGGTCACAAACACGCCACGCCCACTCAGAGCCACGCCCACCACACAGGCCCTGCCCCTCACCAAGGGGTGGGGACAATCCCAGACCCCGCCCACGCATCATGGCCTCCATTGGGGTGTGGCTTCACCCAGGCCACGCCCACCCCCATTGGGGGGGAGCCAACAATTGACCCCACCCAGGTGAGGTCATCCTTGGCCCCTCCCCCTGTGCCACACCCACCAAACCTGGACACACCCACCCACCACCATAGCCACACCCCTAGTCCATGGGTGGAGTCTGGGCCTGGCCACGCCCCCTCTGGCCACAACCAACCAGTGGCTGTGGTGCTTTGAGGGCGTGGCCAGCATCTGGCCACACCCATTAGTGATGACCACACCCACTGAACTGTGCCACCCACTCCAGCTGCCACACCCAGCTTCTGGGGCGTGGTCACCACAGACCCCGCCCACATAAGCCCCGCCCCTCGGCCACGCCCACCTGTGGGCGGGTCCTTCTCTCGTGCCACCCACAGGAAGTCGCCGACGTGGAGGCGCCGCAGCAGCACCGGGACCCCCCGGGAGCGGAGCAGGGCCGGGACCCCCCCGGAGGGGCTGCGGGGACAGAGGGGACATTGGGGACACGTCATGGGGGACACTGGGGACACTGGGGACATCGGGGACACGTCATGGGGGAGGGGACACAGAGGGACATCGGGGACACGTCATGGGGGAGGGGACACAGAGGGACACTGGGGACACGTCATGGGGGAGGGGACACAGAGGGACATCGGGGACACGTCATGGGGGAGGGGACACAGAGGGACATCGGGGACACGTCATGGGGGACATCAGGGACACTGGGGACACGTCATGGGGGAGGGGACACAGAGGGACACTGGGGACACGGGGGGACATCGGGGGAGACGTCATGGGGGAGGTGACATTGGGGACATGTGATGGGAGACACTGGGGACATCGGGGACATGTCGTGGGTGAGGGGACACGGGGACATGTCATGTGGTGGGGACATTGGGGACACACCATGGGGGACACTGGGGTCACAGGGGGACACTGGGACATGTTGGGGGTTGGGAACAGGGGGGGACATTGGGGACACGTCATGGGAGACACCTCTGTGTCATGGGGGTGGGGACACAGAGGGACACAGGGGTGACAGAGATGGGGGGACAGGGACACAGACGGGAGGTGACAGGGACACGGGAGGAGGGGACACGGGGGTGACAGGGACGGGGGACAGGGACACAGAGGGACACAGGGGTGACAGGGACGGGGGACAGGGACACAGGGGGTGACAGGGACACAGACGGGGGGTGACAGGGACACAGGGGAGGAGGGGACACGGGGGTGACAGGGACGGGGGACAGGCACCCGTTGGCCTCGGTGACGTCGGCGCACAGGACGATGTCGAACTCGCCGGGTCTGAGCTCAAATTCCTGCCGGGGGTCGCACCTGGGGGACCCCAAATTCACCTCCAGGTGACCCCGAGGGTGCGACCCCTCCCCCACCCCCCTCCAGGTGCCTCAAC